AGTAACCCTTTTACTCAGATTATCGACAAAAGCATACTAAGGGGCTCCAGTGGGGAGATAACCTTGAACTGACTTTTCGCTTGTCATTTCTTATACTTCATCCTTGTTAGAGTTTGACTCAAATTCAAAGTGGCACAAATTAATTACTATATAAATATTGAAAAAGTAGGAAATTCAGTTTGGTTAAAAATAGAAAACTTTATTAAAGTAAATTTCTACTTTATTTAGTTTTTCTTTATAATTAAGTATCTATCTCTGTAAATAGATACTAAGGGTCAGAGTTAGAAATCAAGTTATTTTATTTCACCAAAATCCTCTTGTATTTTCTTCCTTCATATTAGTAAAATTATTCTCCTCTGCCCATGGATTTTCCACATAAATCCTAGTGTTATTTGTTTTTCCTTTTCAATCGTGTTTATTTGTTTGCCAATAATCATCATTTCGATATTATAACAATCCTTGTTATAGTTAATCAGATGGCTTCGGGATTGTTCTGATTTATTGCAGCAGCCGGTCAAAACATGGTCGTTGCCAACACTTTTGGGTCGTTTGCTTTGCTCGTACTTTTTGCATTAGGTGGCTTTATCCTGTCACGAGGTATGAATGAGAAGTCTTGGACATATCACAGAAAATCAAACTTTTGATGAAAGTTAAAATTTGTAATCACTGTTTTGTGTTTAATGTCACAGAGAACATAAAGAAATGGTGGATATGGGGCTACTGGATTTCGCCTTTGATGTATGGACAAAATGCATTGATGGTTAATGAATTCCTTGGAAACCAGTGGAGACTAGTAATGCTTCGAATTAAAATATTCTATCGATTTTCCCATATTATCTGTTAACAATGTGCTGATATTTTATACTTTGTTTCATGTTGAAGGTTCTTCCAGGCTCAAATGAATCACTGGGAATTACAGTTTTGAAGTCTAGGGGTTTCTTCCAAGATCCTCAGTGGTACTGGTTCGGAGTAGGAGGATTGCTTGGATTCACAATATTGTTCAACTTCTTGTATACTCTGGCCCTTGCCTATCTAAAGCGTGAGTGTAGCTTTATTGAAACGTACTTAAAACTTATGCTTCTTTAGGAGGAACTAGCCTGTTACCTTTTGTGCAACCAAATATGCAGCATTTGAGGAGAAACAGGTTGTAATATCAGAAGAACCAGAAGAGATCGAGCAAACCGATGAAGTTGGTGACAAGCTTCAGTTATCAAACAATGAAAGTAGCTCAAGCAATGAAACTAGAACAGGTATTAGAGCTCATTTAGTTTTTGCATCCATGTGTTCGTGTACAAGCCGTTGTCTAGATTCTAGACTCTAAAAATAACTGAAATGCAGAGGTTCAAGATAACACTCAAAGAAACATGAATAAAAAGGGAATGGTACTTCCATTTGGGCCACATTCCATGACATTTGATGACATTATCTATTCCGTTGATATGCCGAAGGTAAAATAAAATTCCGAATATCATATATAATTCCACAGATAAGAAGTTTATTTGATTGGATGGGAACTTTGCAGGAAATAAAAGAACAAGGTGCCAATGAAGATAAACTGGTGCTATTGAAGGGTGTTAGTGGTTCTTTCAGACCAGGCGTTCTCACGGCTCTCATGGATGTTAGTGGTGCTGGTAAAACCACCCTGATGGATGTGCTTGCCGGCAGAAAAACCGGTGGCTATATCGAGGGGAACATCACTGTTTCAGGTTTCCCAAAGAAGCAAGAAACATTTGCTCGAGTATCGGGATATTGTGAGAAAAATGACATTCACTCTCCTCTTGTCACCGTGTAGAATCCTTGCTATATTCTGTTTGGCTTCGACTACCGGAAGAAATCAGTGCCAAAACCAGAAAGGCTGACAGTCATGAAACCCTAAGCTTTTTCAAGTCTCGTACTGTCTCTACTTTGCTACGAGTTAGAAGTTTTTACTAGGGCAACAATAATACATTTACCTAATGAGCCTGACAACAGTGACCAATAAAGGTAACACATTTTCCTAATGACCACTTTGGATCAAATTAAATTGATGATTTTTTTTCAACCTATGATATCAGATGTTCATAGATGAAGTCATGGATCTTGTGGAACTTAATCCAATAAGGCATGCGCAAGTTGGTTTACCTGGTGTAAATGTTTTATTGACTGCAGCGAAAGAGGCTTACTATAGCTGTTGAGCTTGTGGCAAATCCCTCTATCATTTTCATGGATGAGCCAAATTCAGGGCTTGATGCAAGAGCTGCTGCAATTGTAATGAGAGCCGTTTGGAACATAGTGGACACGGGAAGAACAGTGTGTGCACCATTCATCAGCCAAGTATCGACATATTCGAAGCATTTGATGAGGCGAGAACAGTAAAAATTTGATTTGAAAATAAGTTAGCTCTTTATGTAATTGTATAACTGAACAAACATGCTATTGCAGCTGTTCCTTATGAAGCGAGGAGGACGAGATATATCTGGGGCCATTAGGACATTATTCTAAACATCTTATTGATTATTTCGAGGTGAAATGAAATGAAATACAAGAAAATAAAGGTTAACTTATTCATTCTCAGTTCATATGAACTATATATGTAACATGATATCTGTTCACATCCCACAGGGAATTGAAGGGGTTGGCAAAATAAAAGACAGGTACAATCCAGCAACTTGGATGTTGGAAGTTAGCACAACGGCACAGGAATTAGCTTTAGGTGTCGATTTTGCTGATATTTACAAGAAGTCAGACTTATTCAGGTAATAATCAACACAAAAAAATTCAGTTTAATTCAGCATAGGTTATATAAATGACCTTGAATTGAACACTGATGAATGTCATTTGTTCAGGAGAAACAAAGCTCTTATTGAAGATTTAAGCAAGCCTGCTCCTGGTTCAAAGGAACTCTATTTCCAACGCCGTTCTCTCAGCAATTCTTGACTCAGTGTGCAGCTTGCTTGTGGAAGCAGCACTGGTCATATTGGCGCAACCCTTCTTATACCGCTGTGAGATTTCTTTATACAACCGTCATCACATTGATCTTTGGGACACTGTTCTGGGACCTCGGCGCTAGAATGTAAGCTACAACAAGTACAAATCCGCAGCTTCACCCTTGGTCTTTCATCATATTGATATATCTAACCGTCACATTGTAAAATTACAGGAAAAAGAAGCAAGATCTGGGTAATGCAATGGGTTCAATGTATGCTGCTGTTCCTTTCCTCGGTATCCAAAATACTGCATCAGTGCAGCCCGTGGTGGCAGTCAAGAGGACAGTCTTTTATAGAGAAAAGGCCGCTGGAATGTATTCTGCCATTGCCCAGGCATGTTTTTACTCCTTTCTATTTTTGTTTAAGAGTTTTCACTCTAGAAACAAACTTGTGCAAAATGTAATACATCAGAACCGACTTTCGCACTTGGCAACTGCAGATCTTAATCGAGATACCTTATATTTTCGTTCAAGCTGCTATGTATGGCCTTATAGTGTATGCAATGATCGCGCTCGAATGGACCGCTGTCAAGTTCTTCTGGTATCTCTTCTTCATGTACTTCACCTTACTGTACTTCACGTTCTATGGCATGATGGTTTTGGAAAACCACCACATTGCAGCCATAGTTTCCCCGACATTCTATGGACCATGGAGCGTCTTCTCCGGATTTTTCATCCCTCGACTGGTAAGTGTTGTTTTGTCAATTTGATAAGATATTCATTGACTTCTTTTCCCACTCATTTCAGACTTTTTAAATTACAGAGCATTCCTATATGGTGTAGATGGTACTTCTATATTTGTCCAGTGTCTTGGACTCTGTATGGTTTGCTTGTTTCACAATTCGGAGATATTCAGGATGTCCTTGAGGATGGTCAGACGGTTGAAAAATACTTGAGAAGTTATTTCGGTTTCAGACATGAATTCATTGGAGTTGTGGCAGCTGTAATTACTGCGTTCACAGTACTATTTGGTGCCATCTTCACTGTCTCTATAAAGTTATTTAATTTCCAGAAACGCTAGAGTTCTGTTCTTTATTTGTTTAAATGATCCTAAGATATCTGGAAAGAAACCAGTCCTGTAAGTATTTTACTGATATGATCCTAAAATATTTGGAAAGAAGCCAGTCCTATAAGTATTTTACTGATATGATCCTAAGATATTTGGAAAGAAACCAGTGCTATAAGTATTTTACTGATATGTAAAAGCTAAAGTTATTGGTTTTAATTATTTTGGTTTAATCCCTCTTTAGGTCCTCTTAATTTTGAACTAGAGTAAATTAAATCCTCTCAAAACATAATTTTTTGTGAACTTTTATATAAATTTTTACACTTAGAAAATCTAAATGCAAAATTAATTCTTATTCCAACTTCACACTTTATTGTCTTTGCTCATAATAATATTATAATTACAAACCAAAACATAAACACATAGTAACTTCTACAATCACACCAAAAAATAACATATAAAGCAAATATTTCATATTACCTTCTGGATTCTAGTTTGTATTAAAAAATGTTCAGATCAACACCGTCATAGATCATTCTTATTTATTCGGTTTCAAAATATACATTGATTAAATTATTATTATTTTTCAGTAAAGAACAATTTGTTCAATTTAATGAAAGAAAATTATTAAGAACATTGATTTGTTCAATTATCTAGTAATTCAAGCAAGCATTCCTGGCACTTAACAAAAACAGAGAAAGAAGCCAACTTACAAAAGAAATTATAAAAATATTAAAAAGAACATATGATTTTGTGAAGCATAATTGGACTTCTAATTCTCTTGGTATGCTCAAATGTTAATTTGAGGTCGTCACTTAAGATTTTTTTATCAGCATACTGCCATAATCTTTTACTAAAAGAACATTCTTACCACATGGTAAGAACACCAGGTAATGTCTAAAGAATTTTGACTTGGATCTGACAACATATATGCAAAAACTATGCTAACCAAGATTTCTATAACAAAATGAAAAACTTCACCATGTTTAGAAACTTGGCTCTTATCGGAAAAAAATTTAGTTGACTAGTTTTTCAAGGAAGATTATACATTAAACTCCAATTGGCAACAGAATTGAATAAATGCATCGAGCTATATGTACTAACTGCTTGGCCAGAATTAAATGCATCAAAGTAGATTATATTCTATCATATGATCCTGGAAGTATTCTGCTAGTCTAGCACAAACACAAACACATCTGCTGATAAAGATACCATCAGCACATGAATCTACATCTTATAATTGCATTTTAAAATGTAACATACCCTCATTGCTTCATCATCGAACATCAGGCCGAAATAAAGCAGCATTAAGGAATTGAACTGGTTTCGGCATCAACGGCAGACTCGAACTTGAATTTGCTGAAACCCAAACCAGAACACTCCATTTTTCTTAGTTTCAGCAACAAAAACAGTAAAATCCCACACACAAACCCCAATGCAGCACTAGAACCAGTCAAAGAAACAGCAGCACAAACCAGCATAACAAAAGACTCCTCCTTCGAGCTCATATCCCTCGAGGCCATGGCCAATTCAATGCCTGCAAATAGTAAAAGGACCCCAAGAATCCCTATTGGAAACTGATTCAAAATCCTGACAAAGGAGTTCCCAAACACCAAGCCAATCACCAACTTTCCGATCCCTAAAAACACCACCGACCATCCACTCCTAGCTCCAAACCGATACTGACCAGCTAGCCCACCTGCACCATGACACACCGGCATTGCCCCGAACCAACATCCCACCAAATTCATAGCCCCAACACTCGCAGAAACCTTAGCAGCAGACAGTTCTGCCCTGTCTGGAAACAAATCACCGGACAACTTACAAACCGCAATAACCGAGTTCAAAACAGAGAGTGGAATTTGTGGCACTGCTCCTTTCAAAAACCCAACTTTCCAATCATTCCAAGTGATACTCAAAAACCCAATTTTGGAGGGACCGAACTTAAGATCGCCAAAAATGGAAGGATCGCGTATAAAACATAAAACCAACCCAAGTAAGAACACTATCAGGGCCGCTGGAATTGAACCCATGATTCTCAACCTCTTTGAGTTTCTCCGACGAGGCTGGTCGTCGTCATCGGATTCATTTCTATCGTTATAATCGCCGGAACCTGTGAAGATTACCAGAAAGAGGAGACTTGAAAGGGCCAAAACAAGACCATCAAGGCCCAACCAAGCCCGTGGGGTTGTAGACTTAGAAGCTATAAAGTCTTGATTGTAACGGATATACTTGATGGCTGAGAAGGCAAAGGAGAGGCCTTGAGAGAGCTGGACCCCACGGACAACGGGGAGAGGAAGAAGACGGTAAAGGGTCGACATCAGACCGGTAACCCCGAGGAGGAGGAGGACGGCGGCAGTAGATGCACCAGCGGTGGCGATTTGGGAAGTGGTAAGGTGTGGGGTTTCGGAGACGGCGACGGCGGCTATGGATTTCATGGGTTGGACAGGCATGGGGATTTGGAAGAGCAGGCCGGTGATTATGTTGTAGAAGGCAGTGAAGATGAGAGTTGTGGAGAGGTCTAAGTGGGAAACTAAGGTCAGGGTTAGGACTATCGGAATGAAAGTGCCCAAGTCTCCTACTGCTCCAGATAATTCGTCGGAGAGGCTGTTTTTCATTTGGAAACGGCGACGCCACCAAGGCTGCTGGTGGTGGAGGAGAGGAGTGGTGGCCGCAGTAGTTGAGGAAGAGGAAGGAGATGATTGGTCCATGATTGGAGTAGAGAACCACAGTTGCCTCGGATTGTGAACAAAATGGAAATAATCCGTTCTTTCTGCTTTTTTTTTCCGGATTTTTCAAGTGGCTCCTGATGATTTGGTTTGGTACAATTTTTTAAAAACAAAATTATATATCTAGAAGATATTAATAATTGAAATAGGTTTTATTGTGTAATAGGTCCTGTCTTATTTTAAAATATAAGATTTAGTTTCTATGTTTTATTATTACTATAAGATTGAGTTTATGTATTCTTTTTCATTTGAAAATCTTGGTTTAATCTTCTTGATAATTGTTGAAATAATAGCTATAAAAATTATAAAAATATTTTTTAATCTCTTACAATTATAGTAATTATTATTTGTTTAACTCTTAATCTTTACAAATACATAAAAGAATATTATTAATTGAATAATGCAATTTTATAGTAGTTACCAAATCACCAATCGATGGGTAAAATTGATTGAAAATCAGGGGATAAATCAAGATTTCCAAGTAATTTTTTTTTACATGAACTCAATTTTGTAAAATAAAAAGTATATATTAAAATTTAAATTTTCAAATAGTACATAGACTTTTGACATATTTAAACTATTGAAATAACATATTTAAACCGCCGACGACGAATGGTCACCACCGGTCGGGTTTTGATTAGAGTAGGATGAGGAATTCAACGGTGGGGACCGTATAACATACAGAAGATTATAGCCATCAAAATTGCTGAAAAGAACAACAAAAAAAACCTAGAAATTCTGTGACTTTCACGACAATTGACATAGTTTCACAGTGGGTAGGAGATTGGGTTTTGGTCGCGGCGACGAGATGGTTTTGATGGTGTCAACGGTGACAGCCGCAGACCGACGGTGGCCGATTAACTGTCACCGTTGACTGCGGAAGATGTAAAATTTTGGAGGATTTAATTATAATATTAAGTTTTTGAAAAAATAAAATAATTTTTAAAAGTTTGTATGTGTCAACGTGTTAGATAACAGTCAAATTTAATGACTGTTAAGATCCAAACACCTAAAGTGTAATGTTGAAGATGTTAGACACATATTTTTAGAAGAAAAAAAATAGACACCAACTCTTATTTTGAGGTATAATTTAGGCAGTAAAAAGTGTATTAAGTTTTTTTTTTAATTCCAGTTGATACCTAAATCCAGCTTCATGATTGAATTGATTTAAACAAGTCATTTATTATAAGTGCATATTTGGATAAAAATTAAGTTCAAGTATCAATTTGAAATATGAGGCAAAGTTCAAATACTTAATTGGATAAGAAAAGCTTTTAAATATCAAATGTATTAAAGTTAAATTTAAATACCTAACTAGAAAAAATAATAGTAAAATACTAAATTGAATCTTGTAACTAAGTTCATATACTAAAATGTATATTTACCCTTTTATCTATAAAGAATTGAATTTGACTTTTAAGAGATGTAGGACAGTAGGAGGTTAGACAATATGAACAAAAATTAGCTCTTCACATCTATGGAAAGCCGGACGAATACAAACTCAATGAGTGCACTTAAATTGTGTGCGCCTTCCCGCCATTAATTCCTTTTAGGGTTTTTTTTTAATGTATCGATTCCTTTTAGTTATATGTTACAATCCAATTAAGACATTAGAATTTAGGGTAAACTACACATTTATGATTTAAACTATCACATTTAGCCCGTTTTAATACTTAAATTTTTATTTTTTTTTCTAAAACCTTATTTAACATTTAGTTTTTATTTTATTTTAGTGCCTACTATTAAAAACTTAATGTGTTTAGTACATGAACTATCAATTTTTTATCCGTTTTAGTACTAAAACTTTTATTTTTTTTTTAAAAAAAAATTAATGTTAAATTTTGAACAAAATAAAAACTAAACTTTAGGTATAATTGTAAAAAAATTAAAAATTTAAGTACTAAAACATTCCAAAACTAATATTTTAGACATTAAACGCATAACTTACCCTAGAGTTAATCATAAAAATTGAAATATAAGGAACTAAAACAGCCGCCTGTTTTATATCAAATTATCGAATTTAAACTTTAAATTTTAAAATATTTAATATTTTAACTTTTATAATTCAAATATAAATTTTGATTTAAATCAAAATGTTTAAAATATGTCAATGTCTGTGAAAAATAAACTTTTTGCTTAAAATTGGTGCAAATCAATGCATGCATGCATATTACATATACATATACATATACATATACATATACATATACATATACATATACATATACATATACATATACATATACCATAACATACATATACATATACATATACTATACATATACATATACATATACATATACATATACTATACATATACATATACTATACATATACATACATATACATATACATATACATATACATTATACATATACATATACATATACATATACATATACATATACATATACATATACATATACATATACATATACATATACTATACATATACATATACATATACATATAATACATATACATATACATATACATATACATATACATATACATATACATATACATATACATATACATATACATATACATATACATATACATATACATATACATATACATATACATATACATATACATATACATATACATATACATATACATATACATACATATACATATACATATACATATACATACATACCTATACATATACATATACTATACATATACATATACATATACATATACATATACATATACATATACATATACATATACATATACATATACATATACATATACATACATATACATATACATATACATATACATATACATATACATATACATATACATATACATATACATATACATATACATATACATATACATATACATATATATAACTAATCCGAAATTAAAAATAAAAAATGAGGAAAATTATGTTTCTTAATATAATTAAAATAGTTATTCAAATAAAAAAAATATTCCTACATTATGGAAAATGAAAATATCTTGGGATGTTGGTTTAGATTTTTTGAACTTTATTTTTTTAATTCAAAATCTTTTAGACTAAGATTATTTCATATTCAAATCAGTTTGAGTAGTGCAAAAATTAAAATATTTAAATAAATTAAAGTTTTATAAATTTTAAGGTTTTTTTTTTATTTTCAACGTAATAATTTTTTCAGTAAACTATATATATATGACCATTTTATTATTGTTTTTTTTTATTTTGATCATCGATCTTTTAATATTATCAGTAAGACCATTAACTATTTAAACATTATCAATCAAGCCACATGCCATTAACATTTAATGGAGGAGTTGACATGGAAATTAATATAATTTGTATAATTACATATTTAATCTTCATTAATTACGTATTCTATCAACTTGGTCTTAATGTTAAATTGATTTATTAAAATGTATCATCCAAATTGAATTAATTTATTAAATTAATTTAAAATTATGACCATGTTGATAAAATATGTAAGTAATGAGGACTATATCTTTAATTATATCGATTTTATTATCTGTCATGTAACCTTCTCTGTTAAATGTTAACGACATGAGGTTTGATTGATAATGCTTAAATAATTAAGTGGTTTGATCAATAAAATTGAAAACCGATGATCAAAATAGAAAAAGACAATAGTTGAGTGGCCATAAATATAGTTTACTCTAATTCATTTAAAACATAATGATTTTTAAAAATATTATAGTGTGATTATAAAATAATATCTATTTAAAATCTTTTTTAACTATGGATAATACTTATATTTTCACAAATACAATTATTTAAACCTAAAATCTTAAAAAATAATAATAACAATAATCCCTTCTAACTATCTTGGTCACCTGACGATGAGTTTTAAATTTTTTGTTAAATACCCTTGAAAATTTTCTACTTGCAAAGTACGTTGATGTCTAATGCCTGAAAAATTATTATATGGTTATATTAAGGGTAAAAATTAAAAATAGTCTCTGAACTTTTAGGGTGCTTGCATTTTGGTTATCCAACTTTTAAAACTTGCAATACAATCATTAAACTTTTAGTTCGTTTTCATTTTAGTCACTATCGTTATCTTCGTTAGTTTTTGCTGACGTGGCACTTAACCACGTTAATTTTCTGACGTGGCAGCAGGTTCTTCTTCTTATTTCTTCTTTCTTCTTTCTTCTTTCTTCTTCCTTCTTTCTTCTTTCTTCTTCCTTCTTACTTCTTCCTTCTTTCTTCATCATTCTCCTTCCTTTTTCCTTCTTTATTCTTTCTTCTTCTCACACACTCTCTCAATGAAATCTCAGATTCAAAACCTTGTCATGGCATTTAGGATGGAGCGTGGAGATTCAAGTTTCAAAACCTTCCTTCTTTACCTGGTATTCTTAGGTTTTGTTTGCTGTGGAAATACTCTTCTTGTACTTTCTCAGTGCGTTATTTCACAGGAGGGTGAACTTGATGATGTTGTTGTAGTTCATTCTTATGAGGATGACATACCTGCATGATCTCATAAGACAAGGCTAACTGTTCTGAATGTATGTTTTAACTTAGACATCGTTTTCTTCTCTCCAAAGGATTTACCATTGATAGTTCGTTCTAAACAGGTTCCTCCTATGGGTTTGTTCTACCCAACACTTTTGATTCCTGATTTATATCCTCCTCCACCCTGTTCTTGGTTAGTAATACTTATTCAATATTGCTCTCTTCTTTGGAAGTAGTTTTGAATTATGAAGCACAGGGACGACACTGTTTCCCACGTTTCAGTACCTGATATGTCCCCGACACGGGGACGGCATGAGTACGTACTGGGGACATACCACATGGTGGGGTATAGCTGAACAAACTAGGGGATATTTCGATGTTTACCCGAAGATGTTTTGGGGATAACATGTGACTATTACATGCGTCCCTAGGTGGCCAAATCGACCCACGATGACGGAGAATGAGAGCCAAAGCTCGCAGGTTTCATATCAACACGACTCACGTCGACGGTGAGGGTTGGGGTCACAACGTGGAGGCTTTTGGAAGATGATCGACAACCTAAGGATGGTGGCGGCACGACGATATATGGGTTTATGGGATGACCGGTGAGGATTCGTGAATCATCAAAGGAAAAGAAATAGGGACGTACGACTAAACGTTAAAACAAAATCAGAGATTTGTGATTATAATAAAAATAGTATAACTTTAGAGTTAGTCCTCAAACATTTTAGGGTTTACAAAACGTGTTACATACTTTACAATAATTACAATTTGGTTACATAAATAATTTAGAGATTTAGGGTTTCAAATTTTCTATGAAGTATTGACTTTATGAATTTTATTTTCTAATATTTACTTATGGATTTTATTTTCTAATTTTTTGTGAAATATTAACTTTATTTATGATTTTTTATATCTATTTATAATTTAATTTTTATTATATGTCGTCCTCTTGTCGTCCCATACCTTGTAATTTTAAGAATTATTGTTTCCCGTCCCCGTATCTATATCAGTGCAACATAGGTTTTGAATTATTTCCTTTAGGGTTATTTTGATGGTGTGCTTCACCAGGTTTCATGACTATGAAGATATGCTGGAAGAAACATGGCATATAGAATTCCCAAGAAGATCTGACATGCCAGATGGTATCTATCCTAGCAAAAATGTTGGTTTACAAATGTGTGATAACTATCCATTTTTCCCAATGAAACCTAAGAATTTAGTTATAACACTGTTTTTGGTTTCTTATATATTGTTAAGGTAAGGTAAATTGTGTGTTGGGTAAATGGTCACTGATGTTTTTCCACTGATGATTTAAAACTAAGGATTTAGTTATTAAAGCTCTCCATTTATAAATAAGTTAAGAGAAAATAACTTCAGTGACCGAAAATGCCTTATAATATATGATTTTAACCAACTTTTTTTGGATTTACGAAAATGACCAACAAAATCGCAACGCGGTCTCAAATTCGCAACGCGAAGTCCAATTTCATAACAGAGGTTACAAATTCGCAACGCGAATAGGTAAATCGCAACGATAATATGTAAATCACAACGTGAAAGTCAAAATTGCATATGCGCTTGAATCATCTTGAATAGGGTATGCGCTTGAATCATCTTGGTTTAGATGAAGAGCAACTTTTATAACATGGCCACACGGATAACTAGATATTTGCCATTTCATACAACTACAAGTCTTTGCATTTAGATCGACAAGCCCATTTAAGTTATTGTAAAATACTTCAAACAAAGTGTTTGAACATGATTTAACTCTCCATGATGTTGACTTCACAACACGTTTCTTTATCTTTTTTTCAGTCCATGGTGTAACACGACATTCCAATGTTCCTGTAAATTTAAATAAATAATACTTAGTAAAATATTCAAATTAAATATGATAAGTTACAAATTTAAATAAATAATACATGCATGGTTTCTTTTCTTGTAGTACCACTATTTAATAGAGGCTCGAAAAAACTCCATTAACATAGTAATGGGTAATTTTCGGGAATGACGACTTAGAGTGTTGATTGATTCTGCACTATTAGACGTCATGAAACCATACCTTGCTCCAAGTTGATGTACTCTTGACCATCTTTCAAACCCGACATCTTCTAGTGTTTGAGCACATTGAGGCAAAACACGTCTTAAACAATTTATATGCTTATTAAAATCCACTTCCCGATAAGCTTTTACAGTCTTCCAGTATGTCCATTTGTGATTTTTTATACTAGCAGACCTTGATTTTAGATTTATGTACAAATGAACACCACAAAGTCCATGAAAAGCATTTGGGAAACACCTTCTAACAGCGTTGTCAATTGAGTTTGCCCTATCGGATATGATTGTCAGATTGCTAATAGAACCTATGCAATCCCTAAGATGCCCCATAAATCATGTCCATGAATCAGAGGTTTCAGATTTGCCAACCCCGTAAGCTATTGGCAGTATCCCATTATTAGCATCAATGGTTACTGCTAATAAGTTTACTCCAAGGTATCGACCTTTCAAATGTGCTACGTCAACTATAATAACTGGGCGCATGCAAGTAATAAACGAACGAATCTACAAAATAATATGCACTAGAAATATAATCATTTAAATATGAAATTCATGTAACTAACAAAAATGAGTCAACAAAATTATATTGATTTACTAACCGTAACACCAATGGCGATAAACAGCAACTCAAAGTGTTCATCTCTATATGTTTTGATATGAGTTACCAACCCAGGATTTTTCAGCTTTAAATTGTGACAATAAGCCGGCAGTTGGGCAAACGATGCTTCTGGCGATCCCCTCAACAATTCCAAGGCATAACATTTGGCTCTCCAAGCTTGAGAATATGAGATACTAATATTGAACCGAGCATTCATGTCAGTCATAATTTCATGTCCCCGATATACCATGTCATTCAAAAACATTAACTCAGCCAGAAAACCACCCAACACCTTTTTGTTTGCCTGTCTATGGTGAGGAAAAACTTGGGTTCTTGAACATTTATGTTTATCAATAAAAGTCCTAACTTGAAACATTTCACAATCTTTTATCCTCTTTGCAATCATACGCCATGTACAGTTTTTGTCAATCATACACATTGTTTCGAAATGATCTTTGCTTGATTTGTTAACTTTTAGTTGATAGTCATATTCCACACATTTCGTATACAAAGCTATCTTCAAGTCTTCCTTTGTATCAAAACAATCATCTTTCTTGATACGAATAACTTTTGTGTAACAATCAACTACTATCTTTACCAACTCTTCTTCCGGTATCTGAAGTAATTCTGGCATATTCCAGTTATACTCTCATGGCATTTTCTTCTTTAACTTTTCTCTGGGGACTTATTCTTTTTCTTCTTCTTGTTAAGGTTATATGAATTACAAAATGGATGTTCAACATGTTCATTCACAGTCGTAACTTCCTCCTCATTATCATAAATAACATCTTAAGAAGCAGCGGCTATTTCATCATCAAAATTCGGGTATTGACTAATATCAAAATCATTACACACAGGGCATGTTTCTTCTTCTGAAACATCATCAAAATCCGAGTATTGACCAAGATCAAAGTCTTGGTATTGACCAAGATCAAATTTCGAATACTGACTAATACTCACAATTTTTTCTGTTGGCTCATCATCGTCTAACTGGTCAATAAAAAAACTGGAATTTTGTGCTGAAAGTTGATTGGGATTTGGATTAGGGTGTGGGTTTTGAGATTGTGTTTGGTATTGGAAATGTGGCGAAACAAAATTTTCTTGGTGATGAAATTGTGGTGGAACCATTAAATTTTGAGGTTGATAACAACGTTGTACATTGTGAGCACCATAAAGTGGGGTTGAAGCACTTAGTTGATTACTACCCGCTAGTGACCCAACTTCACTACTTCTAGGTTCAACAACATACAATGTAAAATCATCTTGTGAAACACTAATGTAAGCAATGAATCGTTCAACATCTTCATTGTTGGTTAACAAATAAACTTTACCTTTTCTCTGATAAGATAACCTAAATCCACTTAGAGGCTCTAAATTCAATTTCTTTGCAACACATAACATAAGAGTTTCATAAGTTAACATTTTTAATGACAGTTTTAGTTGAAGATTCATGGGTAAAGGCATATATTGTAAAACACCATGAACATTCTCCCATGACCCTCCAAAACACAAATATATCCAAACATAATCAACATTTGGTGATTTCATTTTACAAATTATAAATTAATTTACTAAACAAACGAACTATAAACTAGATATCATCACTAACTTCGAGAAAAACATACCTTTATTAAGTTGATAGTTGATAATTTGGGAGAGAAATCATTGAAAAATTATATAGAAATAAAATTATGTAAAAAAAATTAGAGATGGGGAAGGATGTCGTTGGATATTGGAACGGATGTTACCGAAGAGAGTGATAAATGGAGATAGAATGAGTTGCAATTTAGGGATTTAGGTTATGAGTTGATGCTGCTGCGTAGTTTATATACCCAAAACATTTGTGTTGCGAAAATAAAAGCTGTTGCAAAATTAAAATTCGTGTTGTGAATTCAAAAATCGAGTTGCGAAATCAAAATTCGTGTTGCGATTAGAAAATCTTGTTGCGAAAAGAAAACTTATGTTATGAAACATAAATTCGCGTTGCGATTTACCTATTCACGTTGCGAATTTGACTCTCGCGTTGCGAATTTGACTTTTGCGTTGCGAATTTGTCTTTTGCGTTGCGATTTACATATTATCATTGCGATTTACCTATTCGAGTTGCGATTTACCAATTACCATTGTGATTTACCTATTCGCGTTGCGAATTTGGAACCTGTGTTACGAAATTAGACTTTGCGTTGCGATTTTGTTGGTCATTTTCGCAAATCAAGAAAAAGTTGGTTAAAATTGTATATTATAAGGCATTTTCGGTCACTGAAGTTATTTTCTCATAAGTTAATCAGTCAGCCGTTAACCATGGCTTCCACAGTGACTGGAACAGTTGGAGTGCTTCCATAAATCTGTTGAGAAAAAAAGGCCCATTTTGGCTTGAATCATGCTCGACGAGCTCCAAAAACTTCCCTGTTTTCTTTAACGACGCAATGAAGTTGAAGAATGCTGTAAGCCACAAGAACTTGGTTATCGTATAATTTGATGTCTTCGGTTTTTAGGTTCTCTTTGCTTTCGACTATGGAGAATTCGAAGTTGATTCCCATGGATTTTGTATATGCTTTAACTTCATTTTTTATGGTGTCGAATCGCTCAACACAGAGGCCGATGGCAGTTATTCAGAGGCGTGTGCACCGCTTCCTCTGCCGCTCTTCTACCGCATCGGCAGTAAGTTATCTTTGAGTGTAAGTCAATATATGATCTCTGAAGTGAAATTTCGATAAACAACTGAAACTAGTACCATTGATACCGCTTCGACTCATCCCTCCGCCGCCGTCGCTGTTTCCGCCATTAGAAACACTTACGGAGCTTCCAATCGATTCGGGTATACTAATATTTCGTTTTAGTCTCTTCTAAAAAATGGCAGATACGATCAGCGCCATTATTGTCTGACACTAAAGTTAAGAAAGGGTTTGAATAAAAAAGCTACGACCGATCGATTGAGATCCATACCAGTCACTTTTTCAACCTTATCTGTTCTTTAAAGCTCATTTTACAGAAACTCTGGGGCAATTTTTCCCTTTTTTATCATCAACAAAGCCCTAAAACCGAGCTAGGACTATTTATAAAAGAAAAACCAGAAACTTAAAGACCATGAGTTTTTATTGGGCAAAATTCCCAAGATAATGCGGTTGAGGAAGTTTTTTCCTCAGGGTAATGCTGTTCCCACATTATTTTTTCATTTAGGGTGTTTTCTACATTACAATGCTAAAGACTCTAGGAAATATCAGCGTCTACAGGCAAAATAAAAGTTTTCTGGATCACTTGACGTTTTCAGACAAAAATAAAGACTTCAGGAAGATACGACGTCTTTAGGTAAGGTAGATGACTTTGGGAATACACGACGTCTTCACGTCTGAACCTCTTTTCATGCATGTATGGGACAATTGTTGATTGAGTGGGAATCAGTAGGAGCGGGTGCGTGGGAATCAGTGGGAGTGGGTGGTGCCAATATTACACCAATAATGGAGCATTGGGTTGGGTTGTTATAAAATGGGGGGTTAGATTTTGGATGAGAGGTGGAAGGAGAAAATTGAGT